GGGGGTGAGGGAAATTGTGAAGGGGAAGCCTCTGCTGAAAATATTGGAGGAGACAGAACAGGGTGTTGCACATCTATGTCTAGTCGTGGAAGGGGCTGTTATGTAGGGCCGAGGAGGGGGAGCAGTGGGTGGCCCGGTACCGGGCGATGGGCAACGGGGAGCGGTTTCCACTGCCACCGGCGCTCGTTCTGCCACCACGGCTTCCATAGCATGCGTTGCGCTGTGTCTAGCTCCCCCAATTTCTTCTCAGGATCCAGCCACAGTTGTTCGAAGAGGGTTATTTGTTCTTCTTTGTGGAGGCGGTCCGCCGTACGAACCAGGTTGTCTTTCAGTTGGGTCCAAACGCTGTGGATGACAGCTCGAATAGTATCGATTATGTGTGCTCTGGCAGCTCGAATAGTGTCGATTACGTGTGCTCTGGCTTGCTGATAACCGAACAGATTCTCTTTCCGCTAGAGGGAACATCTAGCGTGCCAGGTTGTCATCAATATTTCCAGCCTGGTGAGCGAAAAGAGGTTCGCCTGGAATGGTGTCCATGATCGTGCCTTATCGGGCAGCTGACCCAGTAGTATCACTGTCGGTTGCCATGGGAAGTCTTGCCTTGTGAGATATAGCCATGCCGCACTCCACCACTGCCATATTTGTTTTGCCATTGGGCAGAAGAGGAGGCAGTGTTCCAGATTTGCAATTTGCTTCGGCGAGGACGTACCGCAGTATGAGTAAATGGGTGACAACAACCCTTTTTGCTCTAGTTGTGAGCGGGACACCACCTAGTCCGGCATTGGCAGGCATATGTATAGGATCTGCCATTGCAGCGCCCTGTGGGATATGGGCATTAGTCGTGCGTAGCGGGACCAGGTGATCTGTTCGATTTCCTGGTCCGTGAGTGTAGAGTCCCTTTTCCAGCGTTGTTTAACTATATCAGTGGTGTCCGTTGTCCTTTGTATTTTCCTATAGCAGTCTTTGACTGTAAATTTCCAGATAGGGAGTGATTTATCACCCTCCCAGTACCATTCTATTGGGTCGACGGCGAGCTGGGAGAGGGGGAATTGTTGATTCGTACCCATACCAACCGTCCTTGTCATCTCCCAGCACCCTCACCCTGATGAGGGCGGTCCAGGGCTGTCGGGTATCAAGATCCTCATTTCTTTTTAAAAGGGTGGGGCGCGCCCCCGGGAGTTCTGGTTCGTAGGCCTCTAGCTCCGCGTGATCCATCGTGCATTCCCCGACCTTGTATATGACCATCAGGAGGGGGAGGGCTGTTACGGGTACGACCTAGTCTGCTTTTATGGTCCGCGGGCCTTGTTTAAGGGCCTGGTGCCAGGCAATCGAAACAACTTAGTGAAGGGTACTGAGTTTGTCCTCCAAGTTCTTGATATTTCTCAGCGTCGATCGGAGCTGGGAGGCGTTTTTCCACTTGCCTGCAGGTATATCCCAGAGGTCTCCCAAGGTGAAAATCCCTTTCTTTACCCAAGACAGCCAGTGTGACTCTTGCTTAATGGAGAAGGGTCTCCCTTGGGAATCCACAATGTGAGGATTCCCAAACCACAGTTGCCTCCAGACCTTGTGCCACCTCGGTGGAGGCGGGGACTTTACCGGTCCTCTGTCCCTCCACAGGGCTACCAAGGAGGTCCACATCGGATCATTGGCTAGATCTACTTTGGCAGCCTTGTCTTGGTTGTCCCCCGCATCTGTTCTCGGGGGTGTAGGTCTTGACCAGGCCGGGTTTGTGAGCCAGGCCAGTGGGTGGACTGGCTTATCGTGCGGCGATGCCGACACTAAGCAGGCCAGTTGAATGTGGGCCAAGGGAGCCCATGGAATGTCATCAGTCCTTAGCAGTTTGACTATTACCTTGAATAGCAAGGATTCAATTTGGTCTCCATGATCTATAATTGCTAGGCCACCTTTGGCTTTTGGTTGGGTGACTTGGGCCCAAGCCACGCGTTTAATTCAAGATCTTAGCTCGCGGTCGTTCCTCCATAGGTATGCTGCTATTATTGTTTTGAGATGAGTGAGTTGACGTGGAAGCAATGACCAAAACACTGTCTTATACCAGATGGTCGACAGGATTGCATTATTGATGGCAGGGGTTCTGCCGGCTATGGAGGTGTGCAACCCTTTCCATTTGGCCATTGCTCGTATTGCCGTTTGGACCAAGTGGTCTCCATGGTCTTTGGGAGGGCCCACGGCTGTGAGCCTGATTCCCAGGACACAGATGGCGTCCTCCTTCGCTCGCCAGTTGACTAGGGGCTCCTCAGGTGGAGGCAGATTTGTAGTGTGGAGTCACCATCCCTCCGTTTTAGCACCCCAATTGACCTTCATGTATGCAGCTATGGAGAAAACATGTATCGTGTGTGCCAGGGCTTGCATGCTAGAGGTTGAGGCTTTGATGAGAACGGTGAGGTCATCCGCAAATAGTAAAGTGACAGGTATTCTGTAAGCGGGGAACTCCGGGATGAAGATCCGCTCGATAACGGGGTTGGCTCGAATGAGTGCTGCCAAGGTCTCCATTACAATAACAAAGAGGAGCGGGGCAATCGGGTCGCCTTGTTTGACAGACCTTTCCAACGGAAAGGGTGGAGATAGATGACCATTTAGCATGATGTTTGTTGTTGCAGAGTGGTACAGTGTGTGGACCCAGCGCCTGAATGTCAGACCAAAATTCAAGTTATCCAAGCACAGGTCCAGGAATCGCCAATCGACGTGGTCGTATGCTTTTTCAAAATCAATAAATAAGATTGCCGCCTGCACTTGTCTCTGTCTTGCATACTTGATCGTTTCATTGACCAGCAGGACATTGTCTTAAATGTTTCGGTGGGGCATGGATTCTGTCTGGTACATGTGAATGAGGTGGCGCATACAGAGAAGGAGTTTGTTACACAACGCCTTTGCGACCATCTTGTAAAGGAGGGGAAGTAGTGTGATCGGGCGGTAGTTTCTAATTTCTGCTCGGTCTCCCTTTTTGTAAACCAATGTGGTGACCCCTTGACCCACAAGGTGTCAACTGTGGGCAGCCTGAGCACTTTGCCAAATTTTGTCCTCATCCTCCACGTCACCAAGTCTCCAATCCAAATTCAGCAATTGTTCCAGTTCAAGGACCGATTCTAACGTTGCCGCATCAGCAAGCAGTGGCGGCGACGTCTAACACAGGAGGATACGTAAGAGGTACATGATGGTACCATACGAACGAGAGGCTTAATAATATTGCGGTTTCCAAGATGAAAGTGCGGCATGATGTAGAAGAAGAACGTGAACGTGTGAGCAAAGAGGAAGAGGAGCGTAACAAAAAAAAACAGGAGGAAGAAGAACGAAGAGCACGAGACAAGAAAGAACGGGAGGATTTTCAGAAGCAGCTGAGGGAATCGATGAATACAAAGTTTGATGTGTTATGTGAGGCACTGTTCTGGAAGAAGAAGGAAGGAAGCGATGAGATCGAGAAATTAAAAAGTCCGATCGACAAGTTGGAGAAACTTCAGTTGGGTTTTATGTCAGTGATGAATGGGTGCGCATCAGTAGACGTGGCAGCTAGGCGGTTGCGTGAGCAAGACGAAGAGAAGAGAAAGACCCGTGATGAGTCCGAGAGGAGGATAGCTATCCTAGAGGAAGAAGTGGTCTTGCTAAGGAGGCTCAATGGGCAAAAGACTAATGAGGCCGCAACATGGAAGCAGGAAGCGCTGAGGCCCAGCAACAAGCGAGGAGCGGTGGTTGTGGAGGAAACACCCAACCAACATGCGCGAGTCCGGCCACGCTGTACAACACTGAAGACGCCTGGGTCACATGCGGTCTCAATGGCTAAGGTGCACGCGAAAGAGGTCGCTGCCTTGACAGAACTGCGCAGCAGGGATTTGAATGGGCGAAGGAAGGCGGAACAAGAGGTTCAGAGATTGAAGGAGGGGCAGAAACGGTTGAGAATGGAGAAGGAGCAGGACCAGCCACGGACAAGTGGTACTAACTTAACAAGAAACTTGAAGAGGTGGCAAACACGACAGCTAGGAAGATAGACAAAGGTAAAGGAAAGATGGACGAGCAAGGGTTAATGATAGAGAAAAGTTTATGTCGGAGAATAGACGGTTTTTGAAACCACTGAAGAAGGATGATATCATGTTGATCTGCAAGGATGAAGGGGTGATCTATTCAACACTGGATAAGACCAAGGAAAAGATTGTTATACTATGAACAACAAAAATCTTTCCTAGTCTAACGAGCAACGGGGTCAAGATAGAGGAAGTTTCGGATGACACACGAGGAGCGAGTGCTGATTTGGTTGGTGGACAGGAAGTTTCCACTTAGGGTCTGCCCCGAACGTAGCTCGCCTATGGAATCTTGCTAAATAGTGTAAGAACGAATGGTCTATCTCTGTTGATCGTCTCCGTTGTAGAACTCTCAACACTCTGTTTCGCTATGTAGTATTACTGCTGACTTTGCGTCATCAACTTCCGTGGACTTCGAAGTACGTTGGGTGTGTGGAGAGACTGCTTTCCAATGGGTTTGATTATGATCGTTGTCAAGGTCCCTTAGTCTATGCTCTTGTTTCCCCATGGTATAGGCATGTTTATGTAAGTAGCACCTCCCGGGACTTGTCTACGCGGTGGAGTGAACATGTGTATCGGCCCACAAATTTGTCAGGGGATGGGAGGAGTGATCGTATGAAAAGTTGTATAGGTGGTTGAGAAGGTGTGGGGTCAGTAACTATGTCGCTATTCCGATCTGTGTGTCTTCAGCGGAGGATCTCCTGGACTGTGAAAGATTTTTTATTCGTTTTAGTTCTTCTCATCTTAACGTACGAGGTTAGCCGCGACGTTCAAGGAGGTGTAGACGGGGTCTTCAGGAGAGATTTAGGGAAAAGAGACGCAACAATGTCCAGGTCGGTGTGGTGAAAAAGGATCGATCATTGGTCGCGTTCCATGCCAGCAACGGTATCGTGTCCAGCAGTCTTCTCCGGATTCTGAACGAGTGCGCAGATAAGAATCAGTCCCGTTGTGTGGTAGTCTACAGAGGGGGGGAGGCGCTATGTGATGATTGGAAGGTGCTTCGGCGGTGTTATGGCTCCTCGGTAGTATCAAGCGAATATGGGTGTTCCCAACTGCGTAGGCCTAATGGATGGATTCGTGGAGGTGTCACTCTTGCTTTTCAATCTGTCGTACCATTTCTAAAACGCTCGCTTGCTTATAAGGACCCACTCGCGGGTTTTCTTAGTCATCCTGCCTCTCGTAATCCCTCTATAGTTGGAGTTTCGAACAAGTGGTTTATGCCTATTCTGCCATCTGATGTTTCTCTGAGAAGAGGACTCGTTCTCGCCTACAATGTATTTTGTCAGAGTTCACGTGGCGGGTTTTCAAGGTGCATTTGAGGCAGCGGTTGATAATCAAGGTTGTATATGATGAGATAATTGTGAAGGCTAAGGTTCACCGAGTATGTGCTAAGATTGTAAGAGGATTGAGAATCTCAATTGCTTTGAAAGATTTGTTGATTCGGCAGCTCGAGATCGTATGGTGTCGCAATAAAACTGTGGGGGATTTGATCCACAACTTCCGTAGGGCAGCAAGGTCGAAACATGTAGTTTGTACGTGTGATAACTTAAGGTGGATGGTAATTTTCCTCGAAAAAATGGACATGTGGCGTTTAGGTTTAGTGAGACGATGTTTTTTCCTCGGGTGATGTCGAACTCTCGTAACATTCTGAGACCCTCTCTTCTTTGGTCTATGTCTAATCTGTGAAAACAAATCATTGCTGGTTTTGACTCTCTCACGTCCGTTCCTTCTGTTTCAAACCAAGATCTGCTCGATGACGATCTGAAGGCCTGTTTCAATCGATGTTCTTTACCATCATCTGACTCTGGTGTGTCATACTCTATTGATATTGTGCGTGGTCAGCTGGAGCGTCTTGAGGGTTTGGTGCTTTCGTCTATTGATCACAATCATGGGGATACTTTTGCTTGTTGCCCCATTGTCTATAGATCTGGTTTGGACAAACTGTTTTTTAGTAACCCGTCCTTTTCTGAATGCTCTGAGGATGAGAGGGTTGTATTGAGTAAGTTGAAGAAATAATATGTTGGGAAGGGGTTACAGGAGGTAGCACGGTGGAATGACAAAGGTTCATTTGGTCATGCGTATTGTATGCCAAAGCATAAGGATGTGGAACGCTGGAGGCCGATTTGCGAGCTTATTCAGAATGTGGTGCGTCCGGGGGGAGAAGGATCTCCAGAGCCATCAACGTGTTGCTGTGGAATTTGCCGGCAAAATCTCATTTCGATGTAAGAGCAACCACTGACCTCTTGCAAAGGGTTGCGGATATGAATAAGCAGTTGAAGAAAGATGAGTATTTGTTGGGCGCTTCCTTTGATGTTAAATAAATGTTTTCCAATTTGCAGCACGACTCAATAATGAAGGCCTTGGAATGGGTCATTGATGTTTGGATGGAGCAAGGTTATAAGTCGGTTGCGGTAAGCAAGAGAGGTAAGAGTGCTAGGTTAAGCAGAGCTAAGAAGGAGGAAGGATATGTATGTGTATCGTTTCAACAGATGGTCTCGTTCGTCTCCTTTGAGCTTGGTAATACCTTTGTCTTTGTTTCAGGTAGGCTCCTTCAACAGACTGTAGGAATTCCTATGGGCAAGTCATCCAGTCCCGCTCTTGCGTGTTTACTTCTTGCCTTCAATGAGTATTTTTTCCTGACCTCCTTTGACTCGCAGCGACCACTGGTACATGGGTGTCGGTTAGTTGATTATGTGTCTATTTTTGTTGTATGCAACAAGGGGGATTTGTCATCGAAGAGTCGTGGGCGAGAGTTGATCAAACAATTTCTGATTACTATGACCGTAATCTGACACTTGAACAAACCAATGAGGGGCAATGCTGGGATTTTTTAGGTTGTGTTCTAAAATTTTTTGAGAAGACGGGCAAGGTTGTGTGTATGCCTATGCACAAGAATCGACGCAGCTGAAAGGAGGATAAGTTGACTTTTCAAAGTTTGTAGGATTTTCATCGTATTCAAGTCGGCAACAGAATATGGCGGTTATAGGATCCTTTTTACATCGTGCGAGGAGCTTCACGACTGTTGCAGGAATGAATTACCCTTTCTGTTTACCCTTAAGCTTGAGTTGTGGCGACGTGAGTACCCGGACCACTATTTCGATAACTCCCTGATTAACTTCTCCAATAAGTTCCTTGGGTTGTGGAGTGAGTGGATTCCCGTTCTGATCGGATGGAGTAATTACTTCTGATTTGGAAGATCTGTGGGAACAGCCCGACGTAGGGCTTGTGGCATTATATTGCTTAATGTGTTCGGTGTTTTTCATGATGTGGTAAATAGCCCGCTGTAGGGCTTGCGGCTTTGCATCGCTTAGTTTGTTTGGTGTTTTTCCGGCTGAGATCGTGAGTTTTGTCGGCCAAATGGGTGGTAGCCCGACTGAGGGCCTATGCAGTGTGGGGTTTTGAGTCGTAGAAGGTTATGCGAAGGCCGCGTGATAGATTGATTGTAGGAAGTGGTATTGGTTGGCCTCGAACCTGATATTGGTACCTGTTTTTTTGTAACGTACTGAGACCGAAGATGCGGCTAATACTTGGACTTTCGAATTGCTGGAGGTTTCTGGATCCGGTAAGGCTTTTCTAGGTCTGTTTGTGACAGGATTCGTACCCCGGTCTGGATTTCGGTAGGGTCTGTTTGATGTCTGATTCTTGGAATTTGTCGGTGCGATTTTCTTGCGTTAACCTGTTAGCAAACTGCAGTCCCTAACTTTTATAGATATAAACTGCTACAGTGAGTAAGTCTTTACCGACAAACACCGAAAGGTCCCTGATGAGTTGCTGGTGTGGCAGCCAACCGAAAGCGGTCGGATCAGCCACAGTTTCATACTCAGTTGTTGTGTTTCACCGTCAATTTTTTTTCAACGGAGTTACGTTCAGGAGATTTCACTTACTCGTATTGGTTCCATGTTTTCTTCCTCGTGGCCCTTCTCTTCCTTTTCTTCTTCTTCTTCCTCCCCTTTTTCTCCTTCTTCTCTTTCTTCCTTTCTCTTCTTCATCTTCCTCCTCCCTTTCTTATTTGTGCATCAAAGGCCTGATTTCAAGAGATTGGTCTCGAGGTTGTCAATAACAACTTCTTGGTAGGCCGCATGTATGTATGCCATGAGGTCCGGGCTGAGGAGGTCCCAGAAGTGCAGCCAGACTGTCCAGGCCCGGACTCTCTTCGTCCTCCATGGCTTTTAAGGCTGCGTAAATCTCTTGCGGTGAGAGGGGTGCTTCTAGAGCCTCCTGCTGTTGGGAGAGCAGGGCTGACAGGTTATGAAGCATAGTAGCTCTCGCTTGGGTCAGCGCTTCGTCACCCCATTGTGCGTTTTCAGAGGTGAAGAGTTGTTGGTAATACTGCGTTGCATAGTCCACTATCGTTGCGTCTGGCTGGTGCGGGTCGAACGAGTGGTGAAGCGCTGGTACCAGACTTTGTCTTGCTCTAGTCTTGGCTTTGTTGAAGAAGGCTCTGACCTTCGTCCCCTCTGTGTCTGATTCTTTAATTCGAGCTTGGATTCTCCATGTTTCTGCTTGGCGGTCAAGGTGGGCTTGGAGATGATCTCTGGCCTCTTGGAGCTGAGAGAAGATGTGGGGATCCAGCGACTGTTCTAGCAGCTTTTGGTCCTACTTTTCGAGTGTGTGCAGCAAGTTGTCCAAGGTGGCTTTGCGGTCCCTCGCTTGTTTGATCGAGAATTTTTTAACCCGCTCCCTAAGGTTGGCCACCCCTGTACTGAACCAATCCACCAAGGACGTATGGTTGACTTTCTGGGAAGATCAGTAGGTCCAAAATTCGTCCATGAGGTGGTGCATTGCTTGGAGTTTAAGCAATTGTGTGTTGAACTTTAAAAAACTGGGGCCACGGGATAGGTGTTGGTGAAACGATAATCCCATCGTTATTGCCCTGTGGTGAAATGATCGGCAGGGGCTGATCGTCTGTATCCCTGCAACAATCACGAGGCCGGTGAGGGGCTGTAAGATGAGGAAGAGGTTTATCCTGGAGTTGGACAGGCCCGTTTCTCCTCTTGATCTCAAACAGGTGCAGACCCTCTTGGTGGGATGGAATAATCTGTATATGTCACACAACTGCATGCCCGCCATAATCTGATTAAGCATGATGACATCTGGTTGTATGCCATCTGCGTTCGACTATCGGGTAGAGGATTGCCTGTCCAAAGCCGGGTCCGGGGTGATGTTA